GGTTTCACCTTGGGACTGAGCTCCGCACCTTTTGCAGGTACCTTTTTTGTGTAGACGATGATTTATTGAAATACCGTTGTTGTCGGTATTTATAATGTCAGAAAAGAGGGTTGACAAACGCACTATGAAAAAGTACTGATTTCAATGTAATGCGGGCTGCTACACCGTCGGGCCAGAAGGTTGATCCTTGAAACACTTGATGCCAATGGGAGTCCCATATGTGGAGTATGGTAGTGGCGATGATACATATGAACTCTGGTTTGACCGTGAGCGGGAAGGTGTTGAGAGACCTACTGTAATGTGATCACACGTCAAAGACTCATGGTCGACAAGGAAGCGCTTTGCAGGTACCGCTATACTCGCACGGATAAACTGAAGGACCGGATGTGTCATAATCACCTCCTTACAACATAACATAGCAATCGTTGCCATCGTTACTTTACCTCACATGCTGCTGCAGAACCCCTATGCGTAGCTCATATAGCTTTCTCTATGTATTTGTTATCAAAACACACCTCCCCTGGCTAGTAGTACCTCCACCTTCTTGTGCGCCCTCTGAGTGTAAGCTTCAATTCACTTCTTGCACGATTAACCATCATCTCCTCGTTAGTGCATACTGATGAGTTGACAGCGAATTTGGCATTATCATAGTAGTCACTAGATCAACTTAGTACTTTGGTGCTTTTGTGTACCCATCGCTATACCTCTATTAGAGGAATCTCCTATGATATCTTTCTTCCCTGTGTATTTCGTTTGTCTACTTTTCACACTGTAAAGCGTCAATCAGTAGCATTGGTGCATATTATATATGTTGTTTCGGCCCCAATTCTACCACTGACACAATAAAAAAGACGGTTATTTTGAGACAATTCAAGTCTATACACATCAGTACTTTAAGCGTAAGTGAGAGGCGTACGCATAGATTCGTATCCAAACACTCTGTTTTTCCGCCTTACAATACAAATTAAAATGTGTATTTGTTCGTTGCTTTTGTTATCACCCCTGTACAAACTGTTGCTACCCGTGTCAGTAAACTCGGTAATACATCATTGGCTTGAGACCGTGATCCGACAAACGATCAGGATCTAAGCAATTCTTCCAACCACCTTGCGTTTCTCGGGGAGCGTTCAACTTTTCTGGAGCATGCACATTTGCGCTTGTATATATTTAGTCTTCAGCCTTCAACTTTCCAGGAATTATTCAATATCAGTACATTAAAATGCGCCACGATTTGAGACGAACGAACATGTTGTTAATAAAGATCCGGATAGCGACTGCCATTTCTCCTTCTTCTCGACCATCATCCTTGTAGTTTTGCAGCTCTATGAATCTATGCAGTCTATTCACAAGGGTTCTCTCGTATCTGGAAGAACCACATACCTTTGTTTTACGCCGCCATTTCTGTGATTGCTTACACATGAGAATACAGTCGGTTTATACAATCCGGTTCGTCGTCGTGGTTAAAGTTCCCGCACACGTTAGACTTGTTGAGTTTGTATCCCTATAGGCATCTCCACATGTATGTCTTGTTGTTGACAAAGTTACACTCATAGAAAGCTGTGCATTGCAGAGTTGGCACTTTCTCTCTCATTGGTCCACCTTGTCTTGCCTTGGCACGCATATCTGCTGAATCGACAACACCCACCGGGTTTTTCTCTCCCCCCACCCCATCTGCCTTATCCCAGTCGTCGTAATTGTTATCGTCGTCGAAGATCCGACCAAAGGGAAATTTTAAATAGTGTAATCGCTGCTATCACGGTGATAGAAAACCGCATGTCTGTTCTGTGTTGCTGGTTTGATGAATGCTGCAGCAAGTTATATACTGATTAGCAGGGTAAAAGGCTGGAAAAAGGGGAACAATGAATGATACATGTTTTAAAAAATACATATAATGAGGAAGGTAGAGCGATGTCCATTGGAGGTTTTGTGTCTCTTGCAAAAAGAGATTTTTTATACGTGTACTTGTCATGTATTTAGCTACAGTTAAAAAAACAGAACTATAAATGAGCGATAAAGGCCATGACGATAATCAGACTAGTAGCTCATTATAATTGAACAATGCTATTATACTACTTTTAACTGTTTACATAGTGTGTACTGGTTTGAATAGCGATATTCACCATAGCAAGCTTTTAATAGGTCATCAATGATCCATCAACGAAACAATGAGCGTTTCCGTCATTATAGTCAATAAATGGGTACTTGACTACTTGTGTACATAATCTAATGCTGCTCTTTGTAGCATGTATCATATACAAAGAAACATAGCAGGTATATGATATAGTATATCAAGCCGGGATGTACAGTATAAAAAGTCTTCCTTGAATAAGGCTATGTATTATTTCATTAGTTTTTTTACACATATTGATATCCGTCTTTCCTAACGACTGCATTTCGCGGACTAAAAATAAAGATAGCGCTTTTCGACTACATACCATACCAATATCATCATTTTCCATTATGTTTACCCTCGCGACATACCCCACAATTACTGCCAACGACCTCTCGTCTGTTACTACCATTGCTCTTAGCCGCCGCGAGTTACCTTACGACATGGACGTAACAGTATCTGAAAACATGTGCTTGAAACATGCGCATGGAGGGCCACTTCGCGCTCCAGTACCCGGTTCATCTTGTCTGTTCTATATTGAATGTGATAAAGCCTCCAACAAAACTTATTTTAGGGATTGTCCTAGCGGCTCAGTGTTTTATCCGCCCTCCGAAGTTTGCGAAGGAGGTGTCGACATAAACAAGTTTACAGAATGCAGCAAAGGGAGAATAACAATGGGCTACCCAAGCATGTGGGGCTCTTTGCTCTTTGCTTTGATGATAGCTTCTATAATGTCATTGGTATAAAACAGAATTGTTCAATGAGAAGCTCCCTTTTATCATCACCTTCTAGCTCGTCGTCAGCGACTAGATACACCTTATTTGGGATTCAATCCCAAACATTTTATATTTGCATTCATACACTTTGGAAATACGTGCTTTCATGCTTATTATACTATAAAGAGCACCGACACAATTGTAACATGGCTCGAAAATATATTCAATGATTTCTATTGTACATAATTTTATGGCGTATTCAGACCACTGCAAAAACTATAACTGAGTACCAAAACCTACTGTTGTTCATTTTGTCATAAGTGTATAAAGGTATTGTGGACGTATCAGTATGGTTTCAACTGCATATGGTATACTGTAGCATACCAACAACAGTCCAACAACAGTAATAAACTGATGATGCTATGCTCTTTGCTGAGCAAGTTGTTAGGGGATTTCTATAACAATATCAAAGCTGCAATATAAGCAAGGAGCAATGAGATAATGTGCTAGATAACTCTGATACCATGGATTCATGGCTGCACTCTCAGTACTTTTGTAAAGCGATAAGGAACTGATCACACTCTTCCTCTGCCTGATTAAATTTCGAGATACCGAGACATTCATTGAACGACGTCTTGTCGATATTTTTGTCGCATTCGTAGTAGAACAAACATGATGAATTTGTTACTGTAGCACGATATGGACTGCTCTGTGCATGCTTTTTACACTGATCTGGGCAGAGTTTTATGAAGACACTATCTGATGCTTGGCGGCGGAAAATTTTGTATTCATACAGTACAGCTGTTGTTAAAGTTGTGAGGATAGAAAACATGATGTGTAGTCTAGTGATTGCTATAGCATTCGAAGGACGCATTTCTGTTGATTTCTGGTGCTTTTAAAAACTATAAAGGTAGCAGCAATGGAAAGTAAGCGAAATCGATGCTGGTTGTAGTAAAGGAGTATAACTGGCTTGATTCTGTAAAAATAATACGTGATTCTACTTCTTGCACCATATGAGTGAATGCCCTTTTAAATGCTTTCTAAAAAATTGTCCATATATTGAACATCATGGTTAGATTAGAAAGATGCTGTAATTTGAAACTGTGATTGTTAACTCTCCTTCTTATTGTTTTCGTCGAAGGAAGTTCATCTGTTTTTCTTTGTAGGGATTATGTAAATATGCATATAGCCTCTAAACAATGAACTTTGACACGGTAAAGAGAAACCGGGCACAATTGTCTGTCATAGCGACAATGTCCTATTTGATATGTCTTTGCAATTGTTGCCAACACAATGTAGTGAGATGTTACTGTTGTCAACACAGTCATCGATGTGTAGTATTTAAAAGGTTGCTGATGTTCAGCGAGAAAAAGAAGACTTAATGCTTTCCTGCTTACTACGTACTCCATCACCCAATACACCGACGATGCGTTTCTTTCACTTGGACACCGGTTCCTCATGCTCCTTGATCATTTCCTCTGCTCTATCTGTGGTAGCTGCTTCTGATACCTTTACCCGTCGTGGCGTTCCCGTCCATCAAGACAACGACATACCGGACCTATGCACACAGTTCAAACAAGGTGGCTTACCATACGGGCCCGTTCCAGGTTCATGCACTGAATTTTTTCGCTGCTACCAAAGCACTGGCGAAACTCGCTATCATGAGTGTGAGGCTGGCAAGCAATTCAGCGAGAAAATTGGAGACTGCATCGAGGCCCAAGACAGCGACCCAAAATGCAGCAGTAGTAGTGAAGGAATGTCCATGGCCCGGTCAAAAGAAAACACTTTCACAAGCATGTTCTTTGTATATCTCACTGCCGGGGTTGGAGCTTCTCTGCTTACTTAAAAAAAAATATTATTCCTTCTAGCATCCAACATAATTGATACGATTCGATGTATAAATGCTGGTTTGGTCAGTAACTCTTAATATACGCATGATCCCCACCTGCAGTGATAGCATCAGCATATAATAAACGCAGTTTCTTGTCTTCAATGTAATAAACAACCATTGGCAAAGCATAGCATCATGTTTACTACTCCTTTGTCGGCTCGAATGATGTGCAGAAACAGCAATAAGTGATGTTTTATTAAGGAAAAGCTAATTTTATTAATTCACAGTTGTGTCTGTTCTGTTAAATTCGCTTAGCGCGAAAGAAAATTTGGAACCTGAGTGCCCTCGCTTTTCTTTTCCCTTCCTCAATGCCTGAAGCGTTCGATTGGGAAGCCCTTAACAAGTTTTTTCCACCATCGCCCACCCGGAAATCACCTCACAGATCCATGAAGCGTTCGGCTCCTGAATCGCCCTCGCAAAAACGCGCTCGTCTCCTCACTTCAACTGCGCTTAATGATAACGATGATCCGTTTGCGGCGGAATCCACCTGCACCAACAACAATAACGGCTCAATTAACAACCTAAGAGATCACGTTGAATTGGCATCGTCGCGACTCTTGGCACATATTTCAGAGCAATCAGTTCCAGCACAACTTTATGGCCTCGACCAAGAATATGAAAAACTGCACGATCTGCTCAATCAAACCGTGGGCATGGGTGAAAGTAACTCGTGTCTTATGATCGGAAATCGAGGTACGGGTAAGACCATGCTCGTTCGTCGTGTACTGGACGACCTTGCGCGAGAATATAACCGAGGCGATCAAGAAGGTTTCTGTGTAATCAAACTCAATGGCTTGATCCAGTCGACCGATCGACTTGCCCTGAACGAAATCGCCAGACAGTTATTCGATCGCCAACAAATAGGTCAGCAAGAGCAGCAGCAGCAGTCGCGTCGCTTTGTAAGTCCTTCATATCTTTTTCCTTTTGGTATATGGAATCAGCTAATGCTGTTTGAACGAGGAACTAAGATTACTTCGTATATTCTTGTGTAGGCGTCCTTTGCCGAATCATTTGGATATCTGCTGTCATTATTAAAATCAGGCGATAAATCGACACTGCCTGTCATCTTTATTCTCGACGAGTTTGACTTGTTTGCGCAGCAACCGAAACAAGCGCTTCTGTATAACTTATTTGATGCTGCGCAGAGCGCACAAAATCCAATGGCGGTTATTGGGCTTACATGTAGACTGGTAAGAACGATGGTAATATACTCAAAATCATAACTAGGGCACCTAATCAAAAGATATCACTTTATGTTTAGGACGCGCTTTTACTACTCGAGAAACGCGTCAAATCGCGATTCTCTCATCGACAAATCTACTTGTTCCCGCCAACGGAATTCGACGAGTTTAAAGAACTCACAAAAGGCGCACTCCAATTGCGCACTCTGATCACGGACACGCCTGGTTATGGAGCATATGCAGATAAATTTAATGCATCAGTTGAGGTAAGAATATCAATATGCGTTGTTACTCAAAAACTGTATGTAAGCACTTGCTCACATATGAGAAAACTGTATAGGAACTTTTCAAAGATACAAGCATCATCGGTATTATTCGACGCATATTTGACTTGACTAAAGATATCCGAATGTTTTACAAGATCTGTGTAAGACTTTCATTACTAGCATGTACATTTCATAAGTTCTACACATGCTAAATGAGCTATAATGTATGTAGTTCGAGCCTATTTCGCAGCTTAGCGAAAAAGAGCCTTATCTCTCTGTTAATCAGTTTCAAGAAACTAGCATCGCACAACGATCCGATTCGAAAACAGAAATCCTTAGAGGTAAGTTACTGGAGCAAAGGATGAGGAGGACAAATGGACCGCTGTTGTAAAATATCACTAAATGTTTGGTTATTTTGTAGGCGTGTCATTACTGGAATTGATTCTTATCGTTTCCATGAAAAAGCTGCTGGAAAAGGACATCAACACGTTTAACTTTGAGATGGTCTATGACGAGTATAAAGATTTTATGAATCAGACGCAGGTCCGGGGAGCCGGATTTGGTGTGCGATTGTATAAGCGAGCAGTGGCATTAAAGGTATTAACAGAATTTTTAAAGTAGCCTCGCATTCTAGGTTATTAACTCCTTGCATATTTAGGCATTTGAAAATCTACAAGGATTTGAGCTTGTGTGCCCTGTTGAAGAGATAGCCAAGTGTCCGAAGGAGTATCGAATGGCCAAACTTATGCTCGAACAAAGTCAGGTTACAGAAGCTGTGCTAAAGTACAAAGATTGCCCATCCACTATTAAACGCTGGGTTACTGGTTAACCTCTGCAAACCAAATTGCATGTATAGATATTTTTTTTGCTGTGTAAATATACCCCATCATTCTCAATCATTCATTCAACGAAAAAAAAAATCCAATATTTAGTTGAACCTCCTCTGACACAATCAAGAATTGGCATCAAGTAGTAGTAGAAGTAGTAGTAGTAGCAGTCTTATATGATGCATTTATCGCATTCCATAAAAGAAAAAGCGATCCTATCATTTTATTGATAATCGTTCACAAATGTTCATTAGGACCAGGTGCCAAATCCAATTTATCGAATCTAGCGCGGTTAAAAAATTTCGCCGTAACAATGCGACCTCCAAAATATCGACCATTCAAATCATTGAGTGCAGACCTTGCGGCATCAATTGATGTGAACTTTACAAAGATACGCACAGCCTGATCATCAGGAACTTGACCATGTGGAACCTGATTAATTCAAGTAACTTGTCAGTACCTTGCTTGGAATCAAAAGTAACTTTGTAACCCATAAAATTACTACAGCGCACGTACCTCAAAAATCAGGCATCTTTCCACTTGTCCGTATTTCGAACATTCATCTGCTGTTTCCTCTTGAAGCATATCATCCACTTCACCCGGTCCAACCATGTTGGTCAATAAGACGACTGGTGATTCTACAGCGCGCGGTACCGGTGATCCAGATTGAGTAGCAGCAACGAATGGCTGACTGGCAGATGCAAAAGCGACAAAAGCACCACTTTTCCGTCCAGTCTCAACGTCTTTGTCTCGTCCTAAGCATACATCATCATTTGATTTTTGATCAGCATCTCGTACCATCACTGATTGCGTATGGATATATGTAATATGCTGGTATATTTTTCCTTCGGTTATCCAAACTTGAGCATGGCTTTCTTACCCTTATCTGGTGCTGCACCTAGTCCAAGCATAGGCCGATCATCTTGATGATCTTCTTCCCTATTACATTAGAGCATTTAATTAGGGTTATTCTCTTTGATTCCCGGACAATTTATCGACATACATTGGAGAGGCACGTGGTTGCATAGAAGTAGTCGCTCGCTGGTTGCTCATGCGGACACGGCGCATGTAAGCATCATCTGCGCTTTCATTAAGATCGAGATCAGCTTTGGAATTGGAGGCATGTGTCGATGGTGGAGATGGTTCTCGATGGCGTGGAGGTGAAGAAGGGGAAGAAGATCGTTTGATTTCAGGTAGTGATGTTTCGTACAAGTTAGCTGGGGGAGCAAACGCGCCTATTTAATAAGTGAGAACCTGTCAGTATATGCATCCAATTCGCTTCAAATCTATACCCTTTGGTTTCATGATATGCTAGTACATACAGCCACGTTTTTTGGGGCTTTGAGATCGAGAATGGTAGTCGTCCTCAGACGAATATGGGGATACCGATCGTGATCGCTGACGCTGTTGTTGCCGCTGGTGTCGCTTTTGCTTTTTCAACTCCTCGCGCAATTGCCTCCGTTCTTCTTTGTATTCTTCGTAATCATTCGGTCGTTGTGGATCATAATCTTCTGTCATATCAAAAACAATCGGTTGTGCCTGTTGCTGCTGCTGCTGCTTCCCCTTATTTTTTCCTTTTTTCTACTCAAATGTATATCGATCAGATTCCGATATCTTTACTAGAGTGGAGAAACAATAGCACCATAGAGTTTCGAGTACCTTATTTTGTTGTGAAGCTTTGAATCCATTGATATCGTCATTGGTTGAAAAGTAAGGGATATTGTTGAGTTGCCGTGGTAAGGACGTCAGTGTTGTCTTATCTTTTGCAAGAGACGATGCAGGAGATACTTTAGGTGCTGTTGCTGATGCTGGTGGTTCGATAACAGCCTCCTTGCTGACAGTTGTTGTTGACACGACTGTGGCCCCAGCGGGTATCACTCTGTTAAGTTTTGGTTTGGCTTGAATTGTTGGCTTGCGCATAACTGGTCGAAATTGACTATACGCAGACCATCCTACACGCATTTCCACAATGATACTTTTGTTAAACGTTAAATGATATTAGAAAAGCGCATTCCCTTATCATACCTGCTGATTTCGTTGCTGGTGACGATGTGCTGGTAGCGGGTGCAGGAGATGCAGGTACTGTTGGCGCTGGTGTTGTTATAGTAGAGCTTTCCACGCTTGCCGTTGCTGCTGCTGCGGTTGACAAAGATCCTGGTGCAGGTAATGAGGAATATAGTCCCGAAAAGGAGCCACCATTTCCCGCCGAAGCATTTGGTTTGTCCGATTCCTTTTTTGACGCAGGCTGCGGGAGATCCCCGTATAATGAGAAGGGCATGTTGAATAGTATTTGGTGTGTGCCGAGTGAGCCACAGTTGGCGCAGAGACCTAGTAAAATCGTGCACCGCCCTATCGTCCACTATGAGGAAAGGCCGTCACGCTATACAATGCATGATACAGCAGCATAGAGAGATCTTGCTCAACAAAGTGGTGTATGATGGTATATGACAAAGATCTTTGCTACGGGCACCCCATCAAGCTATAATTATCAAGAAGCTCTTTAATTCTACTATTAGACCAAGTGCGCTCTATCAATAAGGTAAACTCCTGCTTTATATATGAAGAACCTATGTTAGTCGTTGATTTCAAGCTGTAGCGGAAGTGAACATGTATTCCCTGTGATAAATCATTTCCTCTTACTATTAAGATAATATATGTTGCTAGATGAGTAGCTTGTTAGTATCCAGATATGTTCATCCAGTTTTTATATGTTTTGGAGTGCGCATTTATTGAATTTCATTGATATATTCAGTACCATCTTTGAGATTGAAAACTTGGTGGGGTGTTCGTAGCGAAAATCAAAGTATTCCCTAAAAATTGGCCTTACAAACTAATTAAAGAAGCACCAAACGCATGTCTGATGAGTTGGAAAGACGGTCATGCACTTTGTTACGTGAAAGCATTACTTGAAGGTGAAACAAACATGTTTCTTAATACGTTGCTAAGAGCCAAAAGAATCGGATAATTGGCAGCATAGCTTTAAGCACACTCTCAGCTAAACGAGTTTTAAAATATTAATAATGTATGTTGATCTCCTCCAGTAAGAACTTGGGTTATCTAGGTGTGGGGTGCCAATTCAAACAAAGTCCTACGACTGCAAAGCGAGGTTTTGTGCCCGTGAATATCAGTTCTTTTCCGGTTGCACATTCCCGCGAAGGATTCTTTTTTTGCGGGGTGGAGGTGGGCCCAGGCCACTTGTTTCTGGGATTACAGATGCCGCTGTTCCGCGGTTTCAAAGGGGCGCATACTGTGTGCACCGTTTTTCTTTTTTTTCCATAAACGAGTAATAAACTTGTCGGCTAATTTAATCCAGCTCGATAGAGTCTCGCTGCAGGTAGTGTGTGATATGAAAGAAGGGATGCGTAAGAATTAAACAAACAAGCGAAAAAACCATTGGAGGTTTCTTTAGCTGATAAGGTTTGTTTGTAATAGTGATATGATGTATGTGTGTATGTAAGGATGGGTATGGTGCCCCACATCCAAAGCTTTCTACAATGAAAAGGTCTTTTGGGATGACGCCAGCAACTACGATACCGCCACTCCCGCAGTTTTCTTTGGGAATTACCGGTGCCAGGCGTGAGGGAAATCGCTAAACCTAATCGTTTCTTTTGGCACTATTATTGCATCACCTATGACTCCGCTTGTAGAATTTTTTCGCACGCCTCAGCCAATCAATAGCTGCAAAATGATGGGGGTGGAGGTGGGGAGAGTGGTATATAAGGCTCTCGTCTTGTAAATGTTTTTTCCTGAAACTTCCTAAAGCGCAAATCAAAAACCCTATATCTTTTTGATTTCGTATCTCTTTTCTCCCGTGATACATCAAATATAACACCATGTCGACAGCATCACCACTGGCACGAACGGCAATTAACAACGACCACATCAACGACGATGGCTATGGTTACAGTGCCAACGTATTCCCTGGCAAGGAGGATCAGATGGTCCAAGTATGTGCCCATATCGAACAAACCGGGTTTATGCCCAAGGATCTGATTCAAAATGAAGTCGCCTGGTTTTACGGGTGAGTTTACGAAAAGAAGTCTGATGTAACAGTTATCACTGCATAATTGGTATAGATCTGATAACCAACCAATACACGGTTATAGAAACCTAGGTATCGACGATTTCTATTTTGCCCTTGAGCCTGTGGAAACAATTGCCAACCACGTCATGGCACTGTACGGTGCTAAGATGCTCGCATTCACAAGAAACGAGAATGCCTTGGATATCAAGTTAGAAAAGGAAGAAGAGGATTCGTCTGTCTACATCCACTCATCAAGACCTGGTGTTACACAATTGGAAGGTCCACAGATTGAAAAGAAGTAAGAATCTTGACAATGGGTGCTATTCTTGGTCATAGATTTGTAGAAAACTCACAATGAAATCTTTGCAGGATCGATGAAAAGTATCTGGATGGATCGATACCCGCCAAAGCTTATCGCGTTGAGTCATACCGATCCAGTGGTACTGCAAATGGCGTGACATCGCAACTCCGCTCTTACTTTGTTACCAAGTGCCAGTTTGTCAATCCCACCCCTTCCGCGGAAGAGCAAATGGATATCAGACAAGTTGCGGACAAGAGCTTTTTGCGCAAGGCCACCGATCATACTTTGAGCGTCTATGAACAAGTCATGCGCAATGTCCTTCAGCGCAGTGGTCCTGTTATCGAAATGTATGAGGCTCAGGGCAAGCGCGAACGCCGTTTGATCATCGGTTACCGCCAGCGCAGCACTGTCGGTTTCTTCTCTGCCATGTCTGACTTGTACCATTACTATAATTTGTATTCTGTCCGCAAATATGTCGGTAAGTACACAACACTGCCAAGTTAGTTACTGAAGATGATATACTGGCGTATACTAAATTCTTCCATCGCTATATAGAACAATTCTCTAACGGTGTTACAATCATTGGTTTATATCTCAACCCTTTGCCCGGATCTTCTTCTGTGCCTATTGAGACTTCGATCCACCAAGTCATGAAGGAAACCTCTTTGATCTACTGCTTGCCATCTACTCCTTTCCAGTATTTCTTCCAGAGCAGCCAGCTCTCCGTACAGGAAGCCGTGTACGGTTATGTTGGATGGATCTTTGCTCAGCACTTTTTGAATCGCTTGGGCAAGGAATACTTGAGCTTGACAAATATTCTCGATGCTCGCAACCCGATTCACGAAGAAGTCCTTACCAAGATGAAGAAGCGGTTGCGTCAAGACACCTTTACCCGTGAATATATTTTAAATATCATCAAGCGCTACCCAGACCTTATCAAGCTCCTGTATGCCAACTTTGCCACTGTCCATTATGTCAACCAGCGTGAGTCGTCGTTACAGCCTACCATCTCGTACCAACGGCTGACCACGGTTGAGAACTTGAGCAACGAAGAGCTGAGCCACAAGATCAAGCTTTTAACCTCAAATGCACATGAACAATTGGTGTTTGAAGCATTTTTGACCTTCAACAAGCATGTCTTGAAGACCAACTTCTTCCAGCCCACCAAGGTTGCTTTGTCGTTCCGCCTGGATCCAAACTTTTTGCCTGGGATTGAATACCCCACAAAGTTGTATGGCATGTTCTTGGTCGTAGGCTCGGAGTTCCGTGGCTTCCACTTGCGATTCCGTGATGTCGCCCGTGGTGGTATCCGTATCATCCGCTCCCGCAACCGCGAAGCCTACTCGATCAACCAGCGCACATTGTTTGATGAAAACTATGCCCTGGCCGCCACCCAGCAACGCAAGAACAAGGATATTCCCGAAGGCGGATCTAAGGGTACTATTCTGTTGGATATCGATCAACAAGACAAGCCACGCGAAGCATTCGAAAAGTACGTCGACTCCATTCTCGATCTTTTGATCGTCGGTCAAACGCCTGGTATCAAGGAAAAGCTGGTCGACTTGAACGACAAGCAAGAAATCCTGTTCTTTGGTCCCGACGAAGGTACTGCGGATTACATGGATTGGGCCTCGCAACAAGCACGTCTTCGCAATGCCAGCTTTTGGAAAGCTTTTACCACTGGTAAAAGCCAGTCATTGGGCGGTATTCCCCACGATATCTATGGCATGACCACACGCTCTGTACACCAGTATGTGCTAGGTATCTACCGCACGTTCGGCTTGAAGGAAGAAGAATGTACCAAGTTGCAAACCGGTGGTCCTGATGGTGATTTGGGATCGAACGAAATTAAGATCTCTATGGACAAGACCATTGCTATCGTAGACGGATCCGGTGTCCTGTACGATCGTAAGGGCATCAACCGACAGGAGCTTGAACGCTTGGCCAACGAACGTTTGATGATCGGCTCATTCGACACCAGCCTCTTGTCAGACCAAAGTTTCCGCGTGCTGCTTGAGGACAACAACGTTCGTCTCTTCAACGGCCAGATTGTTGAGAACGGCTTCCAATTCCGCAACACTTTCCATACCAATCCTCTTGCCACTGCCACCGTGTTTGTTCCCTGCGGCGGCCGCCCTGAATCCGTGGATTTGTACAACGTGCAGAAGCTTGTCGACGAGGATGGTGTGCCACTCTTCAAATACATTGTCGAAGGTGCTAACCTATTCTTTACTCAAGAAGCCCGCTTACGTCTCGAGAAGCAAGGTGTTGTCATTTTCAAGGATGCTTCGGCTAACAAAGGTGGCGTCACTTCTTCGTCATTGGAAGTCCTGGCAGCTTTGGCATTCAATGATGCCGAGTTTGCCGAACACATGTGCGTCAAGGACGGCCAAGCTCCCGCTTTTTACCAAGCATATGTCCAAGAAGTCCAGCAGATCATTGAGCGCAATGCCCGCATTGAATTCGAGGCTCTGTGGCGCGAACACCAAAAATCCAATCTTCCCATTTCGATCCTCTCTGACGAACTTTCGACCTCTATCGTACAGCTCAACGAGCAGCTCCAGAACACGACCTTGTGGGACAATTTACAGTTGCGTGAAGCCGTGTTGAGCAGTGCATTCCCCAAGTTGCTGTTGGACAAGCTTGGCCTCGAGACTCTTGTGAAGCGCGTGCCTGAGAGCTACGTCAAGGCCATCTTTGGTGCCTACTTGGCTTCCCAGTTTGTCTACCGATATGGTAGCTCGCCCGATCACTTTGCCTTCTTTGAATTCATGCGTGAAAATTATTACACTGAAGCCAACTAAAAAACCCCACTCCAAACTTGCATCCACTGACATCCGTATAACATTTCACTACATAACCCCCCCCCCTCCTTCCTTCTCATTTCTTCATATGATCATTTAATCGACTATTCTTTAGTTTTGTATAATTTCTCATTAAAAGCGCCTTTTAATTATTTCAAGCATTCTCCTGCTTCTCTTGTTCTTTTTCCCTCAAAGCCTCCAAGCGTCGACGATTTCGTTTTAGCAGAATGCGGTTGACATTTGCCTTCTCGATATCTGCCATTTCATGCCAGTTGTTGATTCGACTTAATGAGCCGTCTTCGTTTACAACTAGAAATCACAATCAAACGCGCTCAGCATTCAGCAATCCTTCCATTTATGTTTGGCAAAGAGCAGTGCACAAGAAAATAAAACTCACCCACAGGGCCAAGCTCTTTAAGTTTATACGTGTCATTTACATCAACTTGAACAGTTTCTTCCGCGGTGGCAGGCAATGCCAACAGTGGTTCTTTAGTATTTGTCGTAGACATGGTGCGAATGTGGGATCGAAACAACAGCGAAGAGATGGCTCGAGTTCGGAACATGCTCGAAACAGACCCAGAAAAGGAAAGAATATGAAATGGACTTTTTGACATGAGAACTGACACATAAAATAAATACCAGCTAACATTAAAATAACAGCAACAGTCTTGTACCTTTATAATACGGACATCCTATCTTTTATTACAACAATCCATTCCATTTTCTTCTTCTTCTCCCTTCAGCTACCATTTTGCGCCATGACGTTCTTGTCGCATGAACAGATCCGTCAACGACGGTTTGGCTGGCCACGAGCGCGACAGGATAGATCGGATCCTCTTCAACTGGACGACAAGTTATGGAAAGCAGATCAGCAGCAACAAAAGCGACGTCTTCTACATAGATTCAAATCATTTGCCAAAGGCGAACTAGCGATTGTAACATGCTTGACCCTTTGGTCATTTTATATTCGACTTTGGAAAATTTGGCAACCCAACTCTGTCGTGTAAGTTCTTCCATCGCGTCTATGATATCAATTGGCGATAAGAAACACACTGACATCAGATGCTATTATATATGAACCATGCCGATTAGCTTCGATGAGGTGCACTTTGGTGGGTTTGCAAGCAAATATATCAAAACGCGCTTCTTCATGGATGTTCATCCGCCCCTAGCCAAGATGCTTATTGCTCTGGTGGCAAAGATTGCTGGATTCGATGGAGGGTTTGATTTTAAAGAGATCGGACTGTACGTGGGCTACAATGTTTAACGGCGAAAGATTTTATATTACTCAAGTATGTCACGTGTAGAAATTAACAGACAGTTTTCCATCCTTTTGTTGCTGTTAGGGAATACGTGGAAGTAGATGTTCCCTTTGTAGCCATCCGTATGTTTTGCGGCCTACTGGGTGCTCTTGCAGTGCCAATGGCCTACTTGACAATGAAAAAGACAAGTCATTCTACTACGACCGCTTTACTGGTCTCAGCTATGCTTTGTTATGGTAACGCTGACTCTTGTACCGCCACTCGAATATTACATACTAACTACTACATGTAACTTAGAAAACGGTCTTATCACGAACAACCGTCTGATTCTCCTCGATCCTATCCTACTGTTCTTTACGTCTGCAACTACACTGGCGTGGGTCAATTTTCGTGACCAACAAAAAAACTCAAAGTAACGTTGTCGACCTCTTATGCATGAGAGCAGTGGCTGATGGTGGACTAATGATCTTGGTTTGTGCTTCTTGTAGGCCATTCAATGCGCAGTGGTGCTTTTGGCTTGGGATGTCGGGTCTTGGGATGGGGCTCACTGCAAGCTGTAAGTGGGTAGGGCTATTCACCATTGCAACAATTGGTGCACCCACCATCAAGAGTCTTTGGGATATTTGGGGCAACACCCAGATTTCATCGGTAAGACGGGCATAACTACTGAAAAGCGTCGTTGCATGTATGTTAAAGAGCACTAGTGCTAACTTACTGTTTGTCATATGTAGTCCAGCTTTTTACGTCACTTTTTCTTTCGAGCAATCTTTTTGATTGCATTACCTATAGCAGTCTATATGGCAATGTTCGCAGTTCATTTTTATTCACTACCAAATAGCGGGGAGGGTGATGCATTTATGAGTCCTGAGTTCCAACAGACACTCGCTGGCTCAAATTCTCGCATGGGAGATACACCTCTTGGTAAGATATAAAGAAAACTACCAAGGCACTTATTGAATACGAAGCCATACTCAAAACAATCACATTAGACATTGCGTATGGATCAAAAGTATGGATTAGACATGAAGGAACGCGCGGTGGCTATCTGCATTCCCATCCACATGATTACCCAACAGGAAGTGGTCGTAAGTAGTATTTTATGGCACATGACCCACGCAACAAATTTAACATAGGGGAAAACTAATATATCATAAACGGGAAATGCGCCGAACTTGTATAGAGCAACAAATAACACTGTATCCTCACAAAGATGAAAATAATTGGTGGATTATCGAGAAATCACGGAATGCACCGCGCCGACGAGATACGATGCGTAACGGTGAGGTCGAATACGTCAAAGACGGTGATAGAATCCGGCTTGTCCATGCTTTGTCAGGGAAAAGGCTACATTCGCATGATCAACAGCCGCCGCTTGCGAACGATGAGTATCACAAGGAAGTAAGGTTAGTATACCTAGAGCACATATTTATTGTTCTTCTCTCAATCTTTCTTTTATCTGTAAAATGGGACCTCCATCATCTAATCTCCAAAATCTCGTGACCTACGTAGCGCATATGGATATCCAGAGTACCCTGGCGATGCCAATGACGACTGGTTCGTCGATATTGTAGCCCACGATGGAAACGATTTGAATTCTAAGGAAAGACTGAGAACAATCCATTCGCGGTTTCGACTGGTCCACACTACACAGCATTGCGCGTTATTTTCACACAACGTAAAGCTGCCCGAGGAGTGGGGTTTCGGCCAACAAGAAGTGACGTGCATGCAAGCAAGCAAGCTACCCAAAACAATTTGGTATATCGAGGCAAATGAAAATCTTAAACGTAATGACAAAACAAAAGTCTGTGGGGTGGCTGGAATATGAAAGGCTAATATTAAAAACTAAGTAAGATCATATAAACATTCGAATATTCATCGTTATTCCACCCTTCATTTAGTGCCTGAGGATGCGGAGACGGTCAACTACAAATACCCCGGATTTTTAGCTAAATTCATAGAGTTGAACAAAGTCATGTGGGATGTAAACAATGGACTGACAGCAAGCCATCCATACGATTCGAGACCCCAGGTATGGCGATGCAAAGATGTACATGTATGACATTAGAAACCAGAATTGGTGACACTTTGTATCACTCCAAAAGGCATGGCCATTATTGCAACGCGGGATCAGTTTCTGGGGGAAAGACGGACGACACATTTACTTACTTGGTAACCCGGCAGTCTTTTGGGGCTCTTCTGCTGCCATTGTCGGGTATGTTGCCATGGTATTTTCAGTCATGGTGATGACGAAACGTGGCTACAGGAGCAAATTTCAGGGTAAATAGCCAAGTATTTTCTCATCGACTGGGCGGAATACTTTTGATTTAGAAGAGGAAAGTGGTCAAAGGTTAAAGAGAGTTATTAACTTGAAGATACCAGGGATGTTCGATTTGTACAACGAAGCAGCTGGTTTCTTCTTGACTGGTTGGTGCGCGCACTACTTTCCATTTTATCTTATGGATCGTCAATTATTCCTGCACCATTACATGCCGGCACTTTATTATGCCGTTCTTTTGTTTGGCAGTATGTTTGATCTGTCTACGGTTTGCTTAACGTCAAGGAAACGAATGTTTATTGCAGCCATTGCAGGCATTTGTGTAATCTACACATATCGGAATTTCATTCCTATTACTTATGGTGAACCGTGGTCGCAAACATCATGTGAGAGCGCAAAATGGACCAGTAGCTGGGATTTTGATTGCGCACAGTAAGTGGAATAACCATAAACAGGATCTTCAGTGTAAATCAAGCTCACAACAGCGAAAAATACTCAAAAATCACACTATATTCAGATTTGGAGACGGCGCTGCGTCAGGACAAAAAGAGAACACGTTTGGCGCAATGCTCACTGGAGGCGTGCACAAACTGCATGGCATTGTGAAAAACTATGTTGTAGGAGGAGAAGAAAAGCAACAGTTTAACGAACATGTGTATGAAGCTCAAAGAGCAATGGAGTAATGAGAATTATAGGGTAAGTGGCTTTGGTTATGGTTCCCAAACGTTCGATGGTGATACAAATATTGCTAATCACTTTTCAAATTTTCTCGTGCTCGTAGGCCCCCCTGGGAGGATTTTTTAAGGGCGGGGGAATCATCCAGCTGCTGTTCTGTTCCACATCAAGCCTCAGTGCGACACCTTTCAATCGTCGACAATACAAACAAATCCAACACTACACATGCGCGGAAAACAAGCTTTCTTTCCCACTTCCATTCCTTACTGCTTTTATTAGTTTAACTCTTCCCTTTTCCCTTTCCATTCTATACTTAATATACATTTCTATTTCACCACTAAAAAGTCATTGACCGTTTTCTTCGCAGCCGCGGTAAACTTGTCGTTGAAACCTGTGTTCCTGAGCTTTTACAGATCATAAAGAAACAAAATCTAGAACAGCAATTCTTTCACTTCTTGCTCCCTCTTGCAGTACAACGACAGCTGTAGCGACAGAAGAAATGAGACCGACATCAATATACTCCACTCTTTTACTATTCATATTTGCACCAGTCGCCCGATCACAAGGAACTGACGGACAAGCTTCTAGTATGCCTTCCTTTCTATTTTCTGTTTTGTTTTCGCGCTCCAGTTATATATGCGAAATAAAAACTGACCCAAAAATTGTTTAGCTGCCCAATGCGCTCCATACCCTGGCGGTGTTTGCTCTGTAGGTATCACCAACATATTCCAAAAAAAAAAACCATGGGCATTTGGCGGGGAAACGGAGCCCAACATATACTGATTACCAAATCTAGGGCTACATCGATTATGACGTGTATCTACCAGACGGGGCTACGTTCGAACTTATTGAAGCAGAATTAGCACCATTAAATAACCTGACGGAATGGCTCGGCGATATTTATTATCCCTGCGTCGAAGCATATCATCAATATTCCTGTCCGCTCAGTTATCCAAAGTGCGGGACGACTGTGCGAAACGACACTCAAAGTAACATGAATACAGCAGCTCTTTTTCGCATGTTTTCTTGGTCTCTCAACAAACGCATCATTATATGTAGTAACGACGGTTCAGACGGGATGTCAATCAGCCTGTGAGCATGCAAGAGACGCTTGTAGCGTTTTCTTTGATATTACAGGAAATATTGGAGCTTTACCCGACTGTAATGCTATATCCCCTCTCACGAATTTACCACCTCAACCTGATAGTAATTGCAATGCAGTACCTGCAAAAGGTAGTATAGGTCAATGTTGCTTCACTTACTGTACTGTTATACGCGGTAGTAACATTTTGGTCTGCGTTTGTCCGCTTAACGTAGATCCTCAGAAGGTTTCGCAAGGATATAACGTATCAGCTGTTCCGGAAGGATATGTGCTCTCAGATTGCACACCACCTTTTATCAAGGATCCTCTCGCAAAGGCAGGAACAACTGACACTATAGATCCGGTGTACTGTCGCTTCGGCTGTTGTATTCCTTGCCCGGCTCAAAATTACGTATGTATTTTATCTAGTCACATGAATTGAAAGTTCATATGCATCTTACATGTCTCTCTCAGTTTTACAACGAAGGCTATACCGAGAAAGGGTTCCTTGCGACCGACATTTTAAGAATCACAGCAGCTGTACTTTCACTCTTTATTTTTGTAAGCTACCTTATTCTACCCGACAAGAGAAGGTAATAGAACGAAGTTTAATATGCTGAGGTACTCCTGAAAATTATACTCAAATGATTAATATTTGCTTATGTAACAGACATCCAACGATCATCATTCTGTTCGTTTCAGCATGCATATTCGTGTTTAGTTCGGTTGCATTTTTTTCTATTGGAAATCCCAAAAGACTTCAATGCGCTCCCGATGGAATACGACAGGGTGCGCAAGATAATAACATTCTATGTGCAGTACAAGGTAATACTCTCGGTGAATTTATATCCCCAGAAAGGCTTGAATTCAGCAAAAGCGAAAATACTGAAAAATGTCCATCTCTAGGTGCACTGCTGATATTCTCATCGATGGGTAGCACCATGTGGTGCAGTGTGATGATTTTCAATCTCCATCTGCATACTGTCTGGAATAACAACTTTCTAAGGGACAAGTACATAATCCTCAACATTATCTGCTGGGGCATACCGGCTGCCATTATGAGTGTTTGTCTCGGACTTCATTTAGTCAAATTTGAATTTGCCAATCTTTGCTTGGTGGAGGTGGAATACATTATGAAGGCTTTCTTCTACCCGCTCGCTGCAATCGCTTTACCATCCTTTGTGGCACATTTTGGTACCTTTGTTTACATTGGCCGGGTATGTATTCCTTTGTCGTGTATGGTGTTCTTGACTTGAACTAGATGTTCATCTTACCTACTGTCTATCTTTGTGTCCCCTAGGTTTCTATGCGTATGGGTGTAGAAGCAGACATGTCGCAGTCGTTATCCAATTCAGCAGGCGGGAACTCAACAACCGCATCACAACAAACGAAACCGCGTATCCGAAGACATCGTCATGTCGTTGCAGCAGTCAAGATCCAATGGCGAGCTTTGCTTCTTGCTACAGTAATGGTTGTGGCAGTTGTATTTTATTGGGTAAGACTAAACATCGATGCTTTACCACAAAGAAAAATACTGACAACGTGCCTTTATAATAGCTCTTTTACATGATACAGATCAGCAAAATGATGGAGTTAAAGCACAATCCGAAAGCGATATTCGATTGGATAGGATGTATGATGACTCCGGGAAATCATCAGAACGATTGTACTTATCACTTGGAAGGATACTTACCGCCGTACGCATTGATGATAACAGCCGAGACACTTGTCAGTATCATTGGCATTTCCTTGTTCTTTAACTTCACTAAGCGTTCGTTGCTACGGGAATGGAACGATTGGATCTATGATGTTCGTCTATCCTTTGGCAAGCGGGGGCGAGTTGAGAAGAACGGTGACCAATTCTTTGCTTTGTAACATATTTTTATGCTTTCCAACTATTATCGTATACAATTTATAATTTATTCTTCATTTAGTATGTTTCCCTCAATATTTTACCACTGCTACTCGTGTAACACAATCCCAAACGACCACTAGCTCCAATCACTTAATAAAAGAACAAACATATTTTTCTCTCTTTTGTTTTGGTTCCAACAAGTAGTTGAGGTGGTAAGTAGTTTTATTCTTGAATCAATGATAACAAAAATGGTGTTGGATTTATTCCTCATCCTCTTCGTCATCACCACCTTCAGCGGCCTTTGCTCTCTTTCTCTTAACGCGACCAGCGCGACCACCACCGTAGGGGGAGGTCAAGGCGAAGTCGATGTGCTTTTGCGAGTCCTGTAAAATACAAAAAAAAAGATAATTAGCATACCTGCCACCAAAA